TTCGGTAAGCGGTGTAAAGGTTCATCAGCTTGGCGGTGTCGATGACAGAGCCACCACCGACAGCGAGGAAGGCCGAGGGATTGTAGGGGCGAGCCCAGGCAATGGCTTCTTTCACAGAAGAGTCTTTGGGCTCGACGCGGCACTGATTGTAGACCTTGTAGTTGATTCCTTCACGGTCGAGAGACTCGCGGACTTGCTGCATGGCGACGAGACCATCGACCGTGGCGTCAGTGATGACGGCGACGCGCTCGGCGCCCATGTTCTTCAGGTCGAGGCCCACCTCTTGGGTGCATCCAGGACCGAAACGAATGGCAGACGCGGCCATCTCAAAGGCATACTCCTTGAGTGGCCCGGCAGTTGCGGCATAGCTGCGAGAGCTGGCGCTGGGGCTCGAACGGAGGGGGCGTGGTGTGATCTTTTGGTGATGGTGGTGGTTCGGGTTCGAATGGCAGGGACATGATGGAGGATGTGTGTATTGAATGGTGCGAAGGAGGTTAGTCGCACGCTTGGCAGCCTGAGAAGGTGTCAGGAGTGCGAGAGCACACAGAGGTCATGCCGTGGATGAGGAGAACTCACGTTAGGAAGCACTCTAAGTGAAGGAGGCATGGCGGGCGTTGGGAGTGGAAGGGATGTGCCTTTCTCGTCGTGTACAGTCTTTGACTCGGTGCCTGTGCCAATTGACCTAAACGAAGAAGAGAAGATTCTGGATAATGTTGCTCAAATCTGGGACCGTGTTGGAAGAGGAGGCTCAGGAAGGTGTATCATTGAAGTGGAGGGGTGGTAAAAGAAGGAAGTTTGGTGGGAATCCCTGTGACGGAGACGAGGCAGACATCACACGGAAGGTCCTGCCCAGTGTCAAGGCCTCCGATCGTAGGAGGGGCGGAGCTACGGTACAGGGCGCCATCTAGGGAGCTCCGGGAGCGTCAGGGGATCTTCCAGGCGGTGTCTGCGGTCCCGTCTTCCTTCCCCGCGTCATGTTTCCCCACCTCTGTTCGTGGGGAAGGTGATGCTGCTTCGCTCCTTCCCCAAGACCGACGGCTGGAGCCTCGGCTGTCAAGTGCTGACATCATCAACCCATCCAATCGTACGTCGCACACGCAACCCTGTTTCCCGTGCACATACATTCGTAACGCGTTCGTAGCCGTTCCTGCAACCCTTCAACAGCGTCCAGTTTTACCCGTTTGGGCCAGCTCAACGGTGTCGCCCCATATTTGCCATCGCAACTCTTGACCTGTAAGACCGGGATCCTCGTCGCCTGGTAGCCTCAGCAGGTCAAATGGAGGATGCAGCAACACATGGTTCTCCGCCGGGGCCACTGGCATCCGTCTCCTGCCCGAACCCAGATCCTCCTCTGACTAGCTTCGACCGGTTGGATCTCCTTAAGGCCCTAAAGCAGCATACTGCAAGTTACGGCTTTAAAGTTACCATCCTAAGAACCAAGACCCGCCCCAATGGCGAGATCTATCGCGTGGTCCTTGTCTGCGACCGTGGTGGCCGCCCCAAACCCTCCCAGAGCCGTGGTATCCGAAATGCCAAATCTACAAAAACGGACTGTAAATGGTCCAGCGTCCTACTGCACACCGGCACAGAGTGGCTCCATGTACCGGGCCACTCCGTGCATAATCATCCTCCGCCGCTGAGCTTCGAGCCTCGCGACTCGGCGAGAAGCCGTGCAGAGGCCAGGAAGGCCGCCTCCACCCGCGTCCGCATACGTGCTGTCCTCCCCAACCTCTTCCTCGGTGCCTGGCCCCCAGGCCCCAAGAATTCCTTGACCGATGTGCCTGGCGTCCTCGTCTCGACGCACTCGTTGCATCCCATGTGGACTGTCAACACCGGCGTCACCTGCGTTCTACCTCGGAAGGAGTGGTTCTCGGAGGCTTGCCATGCTGGCATCTTCCGCTTCAATGGTGCCGGAGAGATGACCGGCTCTCATTGGATCGCCGAGACGGGCCTCCTTAACTCGCCCATCATCATCACCAACACGTTGGCCGTCGGTGATGCTGTCAGGGGCGTGTACGAATATGCTGTCGAGCACCATTCTACTGAGAGCGGCGAGCTCAAGTCCTTTATGATCCCCGTCGTCGCCGAGACCTTTGATGGCTACCTCAGCGACATCTGCAAAATGACCGTCAAGTCGACAGACATTGTACGGAGCATCAACGAAGCCACCGATGCGCCAGTCAAGGAGGGTAACTCTGGCGGCGGCACGGGCATGATCTGCCACCACTGGAAGGGCGGCACTGGTTCGGCTTCACGCGTGGTCCCGGGCCAGGATGCCGACGGTGAGCCCAAACCATACACCGTCGGTGTACTGGTCCAGGCCAACTATGGCAAGGCAGCGCACCTTCGCATTGGTGGTGTTCCTGTGGGACGGATCCTTCTGTTTCAGCGAGAGCAGGAGCAGGCGGCGCTTCGTCAAAGGGACGGGCAGTCGCCGCAGCAGGAGGGTCAGCAAGCACGGCAGCAACAAGCATCGGCAACGCAAGCGCCACAGCAGCAACACCATCAGACACAACAGATGGAACACCAAATGCAGCAACAAGAGCGGCGTCAGCAACAGATTATAGAGCAACAGCGACAGCAGATCATCCAGCAGGAGCAGGAGCATATGTTATTTCAAGAGCAGCAACAACAACGTCGTCAGCAGGAGCGTCAACAGGAGGAGCAGCAGCTTCAACACGAGCAGCAAGCTCGACGGCGACAGGAACAGCAGCAGCCACTGCGCCAAGAGCAACAACAGCAGGGCTCCGGACCTGTGCAGTCATCAGTCAATGCCCCGCAGATACAGGAGAACCAGGCACAAGAACGTCCAACAGAAGAAGACTCCGAAATGGAACTCGATGAAGACGGCGATGACGACGCTGATAATCCTGATAATCCCCAGTCCGCCGCAGACGCCCAGATTCAATCTCAAGTCCTCGATCAGTACCACAACTGGCAAGCACACGTGGCCGCTCACAAGGAGCGCAAAGACGGCAGTATCATCGTGATCATTGCCACTGATGCTCCTCTTACGCCAACTCAGTGCGAGCGTCTCGCTAAGCGCGCGACCGTCGGCCTCTCCCGTGTCGGCGGCTACGGACACAACCCATCCGGCGATCTTTTTCTTGCCTTTTCCACGGGAAACCATGTTCCCGTGCAAACGCTGGCAGTGGACGGCTCGGATGCCTTTGACTCGTACAAGGCAAAAGCGCTGAAGCTCGAGGCTGTCGATGATGCAGGCATCAATGGACTTTTTGAAGCAGCGGCGGACGCTACGGAAGAGGCGATTTACAACTCAATCGTCATGGCAGATTCCATGGAGGGTTTCAAGGGGAGGAGGGTCGAAGGCATTCCCGTTCAGAAGCTGAAGGACATCATGTCCCAATATCTATGAGACGGTGGACCATAGACGTTGTGCCTGGACTTGAAATGCGGGCTTGATCTTCCACGCGCCAAGGTGACAACCTGAGGTTAATTCCATCGACGACCCAGTTTCCACTTTTCATGGACTTTGCTACTCCAGCATTTGTCAGTTTCGCCATCTGCATCGTCGAAGCGAATGATGTTTTCAACCAAGCCACGGCAGATCTGGCCAGCTGCTCACACCTGTGATCATCTCAATACCGTGAATACCCACCAAAAGCTTCGCAGATGAGCTCTCGAAGCAAAAGATTATCGGCAGAACCAAAACTAAACGTTGATGAGGACGAGACTCGAACTCGCGCGGTTGCCCCACCAGGAAATCTGTTAAGGAGACCTTAACCTGGCGCCATAACCAACTCGGCCACCTCACCGGATATTGTTGAAGGGCGCCTCGGCAGGTGGGTTCATGATGCTAGGTCTTGGGTGGAGATGATACTTGGTTAGTTTAATTCACCTTACCCAAGTAGTGTGAGTACTGGCGAGGTAGTGTTGGAAATAGTGCGGCTATTTGTATCGGCACTGAGCCCACTGTTGCCTTGTGCGGTGTTTGAGGCTATCCCTATTCGTCTCCTCCGTAGGCAAGAATCATCGGCAACGTCCAAGAGGCAATGTACGTCGAGAAAGTCTACTAATAGCATCCAATCTTCCAGTTTCATTCATGGGACACTATTTGCGATGTCAAAGCCTCCTCTCCCACTCTGCCCTCGACTTGGAGGATACTGGCCATAGCCATCACGGTATCGAGCATGCTCCTCCATTTCTCGTCAGGGGCTCTTGATTCCATCTCATCTGCCAATAGGTCCTGTTCACGCAGAATCCTTCCACATGCATTATCAAGCCGGTTAAGCATCCGCACGATTGTTTCGGAGGTGCTTGTCGCCTGCTTCTTCTTCCCCTCCGGCCCGGAACTCTTTACTTTGAGCTTGATCATTGAATCCAAGAAACGCCTTGAATCATCGAGCTGATGGTGAAGGTCCTGCAGGGTAGAGTTGGCGTAGACAAGCTGATAAGCCCCGCAGCTTGCATATGGGGTTCCGGTGTGGCCGTCCTGCGCACCCCGATCTTCGCCATTCGAGCGAGACGGAAAAGGCGGAGTCTGCAATTCTGAAAGTCGACGGCCGATAGGAGACCTGGGACTGGCAGGGATCTCGATATGCAAGCTTTCCCGTCGGTCGACGAGGCGGTTCTCTTCGTCAAGCCGTATCTGCCGCAAAGAGCCCAGAAGACTTTTCTCCCACATGCGAAATCTCGTTGATTGTGAGACACTCTGCTCAGTATTGTTCCCAGGCTGGCAGGGTTTAGGGCGATTTGAGTTGCTGCCACAGGCCAGAGTTGCCAGCTCCGACGATGGCAGTCGTGAGACAACTGATCCTCGACGGCCAATACTATTTTGAGGCTCCATATTTGCCGGTCTGGAAGATCTCAAATGAATTGGCTTGGGGATCGACCCTTTGCGGATACGGTCGCTTTCGCCTGGTCGACCCATATCACCATCGTGGAGTGCTGTCGAAGCCCAGATCAGCATCAGGATACAACAGGGACGTCCTGAAGACCAACCTTGGACTGCTGCTGCGAGTGCGTCCATTCCCCTCTCAAGCATGCGCGTCTCGGAACTTCGTGTCGAGACGGAGTCCCTTAACCAATACTCATTCTCGTCAACTTCAACGACCGTTTCGAGCATTAAGGCAGCTGCTGGCAACGTATGTGCTTTTGAAGCTAGAGAAGAAGACCTTGGGGTGAGGTACTCATTGCCAATAAGATACGGGAAATGATTTTATAGTATTCCGACCACTGGCGTCAGGGAAGCGCCAAAGCGCCCGTGATCGCCCAACCTAAGTGACGATCTCACGGTGTGGCCATGTTGTTGTATCCCGCCTGAAACCAAGAAGACAAAGGGATAGACTGATTATGTGGTCAAGAAAAGAGCGGTCAGCTGAAGTGTGGAAATTCACGCTCACTTCCCTTTCAGCTGGAGGACAAGCAACTGAATGATAGATATGTAGCCAACTTGAGAGGTGATACATCTCTCAGGGGTGGCGCATTGGCGTCTCATCACTTGTCAGATACTAAGAAGTGAGACAACCCGAAGGGAATGCGCCGCGTATCTGGGGAGTCTGCTGACCCAGGAAAAGAAGTTCTTCGCAGATGAAATGATGATTGGGAGGGAAGCGGCTGGCTCATGCATGAGGTCGACTATCTTAGAGTAGTGATTGATCAACATTATTTTTGAGTCACGAAGTATGCATTTCCGATTAGTCTAGTGGTTGGGATATCGGCTTGTCACGCCGGGGACCGGGGTTCAATTCCCCGATCGGAAGAATTTTTTGGTGGCTATGGCCACAAATTACCAGCCTTTAGCCACTCATCCATGGCCGATGCAGAACAATGTCTTGTTCCCCTGTAGTCAACGCGAGCAAGATACTGGTGGGTGTATACCTAAGTTCTGGCTACAGGGAATGTTCCCGTTCACGGATCAGGCGATCATCAATTTGAACAATCGCCATCGTATAATGTCTGCTACTCCTGAAAAGCTGTGGCCTGGTTAGGAAAATATCGACTTCGTCAAAACGCGTAACACATCACGAGCCTGCTTGGCGAAAGACTCGACAGAGTTTCAAGAATCTGCCCCCATTGATTGGTGGCCGAGGCACCTTTGTGCTTGTGGCGATGAATTGCTCGTCTCTCTGCATCCAGATGCCACTACCTTGACAGCTGGTACTTGGTTACAAAGGTTTGTGACAACATGTGAAGGAAGTCGCAGGAAACTGAAATGAAATCATATAAAGAACGTTGCGTTGTACCAGCAGGTATAGCATACCCGATCTCCACGCCATTTCTGCCCAGAGCCTCAGTTCACGATGCCACCCGACCAATCGCCTCCACCATATCAGCCTGAGGTCCTCCCAACAGGAGAGATAACGGAAGAGGAAGAACTTGCGAGAAACTACCCAGAAGCACTCTATTATTGCAAAGTGCCCCAACACGAGGATGATAACATCCGACTCCTTGGAGATATGGAGGTGAAAAACCGCCGGATTGCCTGGTGGCTGTCGGTGAGGCGCCGTTTCGGCCTACGTTTCAATCTTCCCAATATTTTCCTGCCCAACATTTCGCATGTACCACCGATCCGCGATTGGGCCATGCTGTCAGAGTCCTATCATGTGGCCGACGACTTTCGGCACCCCCTCCGGCAACCATATTCTCCTTGGGCCATCCACCTCAGAATTTTGACATGCCACGATGTTTTTCAAAACATCCATCGACATGATGAGGCCCTAAGGCAGTGGCAAAATTACCAGATAAGAGACGACGAGGAAACTTTTCTGACGCATTCATCACATCGACTGGTAGGGAAGGAACCTGAGTGCTGCCAAGATCATATTGGGCCTTTTTGCAACTCATTCTTTGTGGGCCGGCGCATTGTCTTCTCTCAAAAGACGGACACGAGAGACCCCCGTTTCTTGACGGGGGGGTGGCTCATTGTTGCCTACGTCTGGGGTGAAAGTTTCGAATGGCTGAGGACTGTGGACGTGAGGAAACTCATCTCGTTCAATAACGCGTACTGGTAAGTTGACACGAGATGCTGCCGTGAAAACCACATAACTGACATGCAACCGGCAACAGCATTCGCGGGTATGCGAGAGGATACGGAGATCCGACAGGATACCAAGGCGCATCGTGGAATATGTTCTACAGTCTCGACCGCAGTGGCGACTCACCTCCAAGAAGTGGCACGATGCATCTTGAAAGCTTACTCCGAATATACCTGCCCCCTCCCGACAGTCAAGGCATCTCTGTTACGGAGATAGTCGAAGAGATGTGCCTTATCATGGATACGGATTGGCGACAAATCATCGCCCGCCGCGGAGAGCAAACAGATTGGTGAAATGCTGTTGAAGAAAGATGTTTACGACAGGCTAAGTAGAATTCGCAGTATTGTCCGCAGTTTGAATCATAGCTTGCCACAAATCTGAGGAAACAGGCTGATCCGCCCATTCAACAAAAGCACATCAGGACCGTGATCGCTCCTTGGGCGTCTCGAAAACTGCTTCTGCGCTAGGCAGCACGTTGTATGATGTCTACCTCCTATGTGTGCTACACCCATTCCTTAGCCGTTTGCATGCCAATAAGTCTCATAACGATTGAAATTATGCGATAGGTTACCTAGAGCAGCCTAGGGTTGAGATCAAGGCATCAAGAGAAGGCCCTACCCGTCGAGCTTGTCACGTAGTCACAGGTTAAAACATGATTGAATCTGAGGCTGCATGCAGGCTTGTTGAAATATCCTACGTAGAATGATGTGACAGGGGATTAAAAAAATATGACCAAGAAAATGAACGAGCAAGAGTAAATTGCTTCACATGCAGATCAACATCTAGTACACCTCCAGCACGTAGCGGCCCTCGTCCTTGAGCTTCTCAATCTCGTTCCTGGGGTTGACCTTCTTGCCGGTGAGCTTGCCCTCGTAGGCGATGGCCTCCTTGAGCACGTCGGTGACGTCGGGTACGGGCCAGGTGGGGCCGCACAGGTAGAAGCTGCCCTCGTCGCGGATGTAGCTCTGCACAATGTCCTTGATGCTCTCGCGCATGCGGTCCTGAATGTAGATCTTCTGGGGCTGATCGCGAGAGAAGGCGGCACCGAGAAGAGTGATGACACCGGCGTCCTGGTAAGCCTCCCACTCCTCTCCGTACAGGTACTCCTCACGCTTGTGGCGGGAGCCGAGGTACAGGAGGATGGAGCCAATCTCCTCGCCGCGGGCCTTCTGCATGGCGCGGTACTGGACAAAGGCGCGGAAGGGGGCGAGACCGGTACCGAGACCAGCCATGATGAGAGGTGCCTTGGCGGAGGTAGGGAGTTTCATGACCGAGGGCTTGACTGAGACAGTGACGGTTGTGCCGACGGGAAGGCGGGACAGGTAGCGCGAGGCATGACCCCAGCGGGTGCGGCCGCGAGTGTCAACCCAGTCGACGACAACGATCATGAGAGAGACGGCGTTCGGGGTGACAGCCTGGGCGGAGGCGATCGAGTACTCACGGCGCTTGAGCGGGGCTACGATACGCACAAGGTCGTGGAACGAGGGGCGCGCCGACGGGAACTCCTGCAGAACATCGACGTATGTGAGCGTGTCCTCGTCAGAGCGCTTCTTGAAGTCGACAGCACCCTCGGCGCCGCCAAGGACGCGAAGTTGCTGAGCCTCCTTCTCGTCCGAAGCGAATTCGGCGAGGGACTCGTAGAAACGCTTGGGAGGCTTGCCAAGCACGTCGATGTTCTGCTTCAGGGCCTGGTAGACAGTGCGAGTGTCGAGAGCGGCGGCATCCTCGCGCGAGGGCACCTGCACAATCTCATCCGAGTTGAGGCCGTACCACTTGATGAAGGCCTGGACCTCCTCGTCGTCGTTCTCGGCGTGGATGCCGAGAGCCTCGCCGATCTTGTAGGTGACGCCAGAGTCGCCAAGGTCAAACTCAATGTGGAAAATGTTACGGTCGTATGTCTCCGGGGTAAGGCGACGGTTCTCCTTGACGGTGACGGTGTGCGTCTTGACAGAAAGCTCAGGGCGCAGGGTCGCCTTGGTGCCATACGCCTCCTTGAAGGCGAGACCCTTTGCGGCAGCCTGCCAGTCGACAAGCCGGGCAACCTCGTCAGCCACAAGGTCTTTAGCAGGCGCGAAGCTGTTAGTCTTGATGGTTGCGGGGAGCGAGGGCCAAATGTGGTCGGCAGGAAGCTCGGTGGTCTCGCTGGGAAGATCAAACTTGCGAAGCGTCACGTCGAGAGCATCAAGGATCTCCTGAAGCGAAGGCGACGAGCCCTCCGGCAGTAGCGAGCGGGCAACATCCTCGCGGGAAATGTCAGCGTGGGCAACCTCAAGGAAAGCAAATTCGAAGAGAATGCTGGCAGCAGACTCGTCCTCATCGAAGGCAGCCGACTGAGCGGGATCGAGAATGTAAATTTCGGCGCCCTTCTCGCGAACAGACTTGCGGACAAAAGCGGGGATTCGCTTCTCAACATCCTCGTCTTTGAACTTGGGAAGCTTGACCAGGAGCTTGCCACCCTCCTTGACACCCTTGAGGATGTCAATGTCACGCAGCAGCTTCTCCTCGCCAACAGCAACGACATCGGCGTCCTCGATAGCATAGGGAGCATCGATGGTCTTCTTGGAGCTGCGAATGTCGGTACGAACAACACCGCCCTGGACGAGGTTGTCGTACTGCTCGCTAACATAGACGTTGCTAGTGGACTCGCGCGAGAGGAGGTTGCCAATGACGAAGGGAGAGTTGGCGGCGGCAGAGCTGTCGAGGTCCCAGAAAGTGTACTGCTTGGCATGGACAAGCGAGGGGAAGCGCTTAGCGGCAGCGCCGTGGCCCGAAACCTTGCCGAAAATATCGGCGACGCTCTGGGGCGTCAGGGGCTCGGAGGCGGCATACTTGACGTCAGAGACAGCAGGGTCCTGGTGGAACTTGCCAGAGAAGGCAATGCTGGTCAGGACATCAGTGTAGAGAGTCGACTGAACTGTGGCATCATTGACGGCGAGCTCGTCACGGACCTGGCCGAGGACGGCAATGCGCTGGGTCGAGGCAGGGATGGCCTTGAGGAACGCCTCCTCGACGAAGGGGCGGTAGACGCGCACGTTAATGGTGCCAACCTTGGCACCGTCAGCAGCGAGGCGGCCGGCGACCTGCTTGGCGAGCTGCGCCTCAACGCTGCCAAAGACAACGAGGACAGTCTCGGCCTGCTTGTGGCCGTGGTACTCGAAGAGCTCGTACTCGGTGCCGAGCTCCTCGTTGAAAAGCCTGAGAAGCTCGACGATCTTGTCGGGATCCTCGAGGCTCTTGTTGAGGGTAGCGACCTCGTTGGAGATCTTCTTGTAGGTATCAGCAACGCCCTTCTTGTTGTTCAGAGCGCCAGAGGCCTTCATGGTCTCCTTGGCGAGCCTGACACCCTCATCGACACCCAGGGTAGGGGTCAGAGCAGTCATCAAGGTAGCGAGCAGGCAGTTGCTGGACTCTGGTCTCGCCATACGAGCTACGTGACGATGCTCAGCAGATCTGACCTGAGAGATGCTCGCGCTCTCGTAGCGACGAGCCATCGTGAGCTGTGTATACGTCAGCGACGCCGCTCTTGTTGAGCGCATCAACACGCGCGAAAGTCTCGCGAGCGAGCCTCACGCCGTCGTAGACGTGAAGAGTAGGGATGACGGCGGCCATGAGGGTGGCGAAGAGAGCCCATATGCTGGGTCTCGTAGGCGCTGGTGCTGGAGACGAGGCCGAGACCAAGCTCCTCGGCGGTGCGCAGGGCGCTCTCGTACTCGGGGAGGAGGCCGTTATGGGCATCGTAGTCGAGGGCAGCGATGTGGGCGACAAAGGGCGAGGCAACACCGTACAGCAGGCTCAGCTGATCGAGAGCACCGCGAAGGCTCTTCAGACTCAGGCTGGGAGCCAGAAGAGTCTGAGGCACATGGCGCTTGGACATGTCGAAGTCGGGGCTGAACATGTAGCCAAGCGCGAAAGCGCCGGCGCCGGTCCTTGTCTGGAGCTGAACAACATCGGTGTGCTCACCGTATATGTTCTTCTCCTTGGCCTCAGCCCAAGCGCGGGCGGCGACATCAAGGTCGAAAGTGGGGGCCGAGTAGCTGAAGATCTTGTCGGAGAGGAGGTAGGCGACCTGCTGAACAAGCAGCTGCGCAGTGACATAGGTCGGCCCCGACACGGAGGCGAGCGAAACCTGCTGGCCGAAGGGCAGGGCGGACGAGGTCTTCTCCTTGAGAGGAGCGTCTTGTGCGGGAGACATGATGTCGGGCGAGAGATGGTCCTTGATGGGTGTGAGATCGAGGTCCGGTGTGGGACGAGAAAGAAGAAAAGAGATGGCTAGTCTGTCCAGTAGAACCCAGGCGAGGTAGAGCAGAAGAAACGAGGCTTGCTGCTCAATCTGGTAGCAGAGGCCTGGAACCTGAAGAGAAAGTAATTCGAACAGGAAGTGAAAGGTGATTTGCATACAACAACCAAACCCAAGGTGGAGGGGGAATGGCGAGAAAGCAGACTCGGAGCTGTCGACTTTGCTTGGGTGTCAAGAAGCAACGACGCAACTCAGACCTGAAAGGCTCTGTAGGTCTCTAGAGATGTAGAGTCCAGACGAGAGAGGGTTCAGAGGGGGACAAAGAGGTGAGAGGAAAAAGATGTCGAGAAAAAGGCCCAGACGCGATCCAGTCGATTAATCAAGAGGCAAGCGGCCGGGAATCGCACCGGAGAAGCTCTGGTCTGCACTCCACAAACCCACTCTCACCCTCGTCCTCTTACCGGAAACGAGCTCCGTTCGGGCAGAGGCATGGGTGGGCGATGAACTTTTTTCATGGTCCATGATGGCGTGCTAGGAGGCTTTGGGGGTTCTCGCTGCGAAAGTCGGACATTGTCAGTGGCCAAGACTCTTTCCCAGCGCAAAACGTCGAGATCACGCAATTCCCGCTAGGCCGCAACCGGCTAGAGGAATGCTGGGGTGCGAGGAAGGAGCCCCCGAGGACCCCCAAATTCCGTGGGGCCCATGTCTCAGGTCACGTGGTCGCATGCGGGATGTCCGTCAGCCGCTTTTGTCAGCGAAATTTCTCGTGAGGACACCCGACTAGGGGTTGGAATCATCATGCGCTCATTGGACAGAGAGATCTAACATCTCAGACGTCGTTGATACCTGACGCCGAGATATCTCCACAGCTACACAATAGCATTGTTCCGGACGCTTGTGAAGGATGCTCCGGCTCAACCAGGTTATCGGCCTTAACTTGGCAAACGTACTTCTTGGAACATCGCTCATGTTCATGCTGTTCGCCAATGACTAAGACTGGTCGCCATGGTCCTCATGCTAGGTAACTCCAATAACGCCTAGCATCCACTGTGCTACTCCCGCATCTGCCGCACGTTCAGGTTGATCCGCTTGTTCTTCATCCATCCTTTCCAGCCCTCATACTTTTCCTCCTCAGCCGGCCAGTCCTGCAGCCACTCTGGACACGTTCCCTTGAGCACCTTGGGCACACCATGCCATGCAAATCTCGCCTCCTGCGTCATGTAGATGGCGTCCCCTGACCTCAGCCTCAGCAGCAGATATTCTTTGCCCTGGGCCTTAACCTCGTCTGGAATGGCGCCCACGCCATTGGGCGCAATCATGAAGAGCCCGTCGCACCCGAAGCTCAAGCTCACGAGCCCTCTGTCCGTCTCCTCGCTGACGTCGCGGTGCATCATCATCGTGTCGCCGGGTGTGTAAAAGTTGACTATGGCCGCCTGCGCACGCGTCTCGGGGAAGAGATCCTCGAGAAAGTTTGCAATGTCCGGCGGGAAGACAGGCGGCTCCTCGCCGGGGTATATACGGTTCGTCCAGTCGTACTGTCCGCCGAGGGTCACCCAGTGCAGGCGGCGGTCAAGAACCTGCTTGATGGAGAGGGGTTTGTGTACAGCGGGATCCTTGGGTGTGAATATCGGTGCTGGGTCTGGCGCGTATGAGAAGAAGGACCTATCTTCGTCCGTGTCCTGACGATAAGGGACCTCGTAGAAGGGGTGCATGTTTGTCATGTGATGGGGGACGCTCAGGTCACGATGGACCATGAGGGAGATGAGGGACTTCTGAACGGCTGGGGGGACCAGGTCGGGCACGATGAGGAGGCCTTTGGACAGTCAGTTTCGCGAAGAGGCGGCAAGGAAACTTTGCCCACTGACCTGGTAGCAATGGGTGGTAATAGTATGGGAACATCCCCGTATTGTCGAAAGGGTCGATCGGCTCGGGGTGGACTGATGCAAAAGCGCTGGCCACCTTTTCGGCGGGGATGACACCGGCGACCTTGTAGTCTTTTGCCTGACCCTCAGACCTGGGGTCGTCACATATCTGGGTGGTTGCGCAAGTGGAAGGCCTCCAACTTGGAATAGCTCTTCCAGGAGGCCCTCATTTCTTCGGATGGCTGTTCATGAGCGTCGAGCTCAGTAATGGTCGCCATGGTGGGGTCATGCGCTGGCCGTCTTTTTTTTTTTATGAAGAGAGTTTAGAGGTGCAGTGATTCGGCATCAAGAAGGCGACCGGCGAATGCCCCCTGTATTTCAGTACGGTGAGGAGAGCCGTGTCTTTCTTTTCTGTCATCTGTGATCTGCCCACCGAATCGCGGGTCGTCTCACAGCCAGAACGAGCGAACGGACTTTCCATCCTTGACCCCAAGAAAAAAGAGTACACCCGTACCCCTCGTTGTGGCTCAGCAAGTCTTATCACAACAGAGATGGGCAACCGATAAGGCTCTGGGACCCACAGATCGCATCGGCCCCGCCACAACGCGAGCTGAATCAGGGCGACTTGGGCGCGTGTCGTGTCGACCAGTCCCTGCGTCGAGTCTTGTTTTCGTTCGAGGGCCCCGCCTCCACTGTAAACACTGTAAACAGCAACGACGCTACCCTGGGCGCTGTCTCGGGGGCACTTAGTGGACGCACCTCTGATGCAGGGCGGGGGCTGCTGCCATGCACTTTGCGGTCAGCAAAGCAATTTCGACGACCTGGACGAAAGGGACGACAACACGAGCGAAACACCACCAAACTCCCACACCGCCAACCAAGCCCAACTTCCTCCCCAAAACGACAATACTAACGAGACAGGACCTGCACGACATCACGACCATCACAAACCCCCCACCTGCACTTTCTTCTCGCCCATGGATTGAAGCTGAGACCACGTCACATTCGGCCGCCCGATCTTCTTCTTCCATAGATACCCGTCGTCACCCCCCCCGTCCCGTAATCTCGTTGCCCCTCGTCCCACCACGACGCGCGCCTCACCTCGCCCTCAACGCCCCTGCAAACGCCTTCACCCCACTTCCCCTCGACGCCGCCCTGACAGTTTGGACGATCAATTTCATTCTCCGACGACAAGGTCCTTGCCGATTATCACCATACGCATCCCGTTCAGTTGATACACAATGGAGAACTACCAGAAGCTCGAGAAGATTGGCGAAGGTACAACCACCTTCCCTTGGCCGTCCCTCTGCTCCTTGCTGACCCGCTGCACAGGCACTTACGGTGTCGTCTACAAGGCTCGCGATCTCCTCAATGGAGGCCGCATAGTAGCCCTCAAGAAGATTCGCCTCGAGGCCGAGGACGAGGGTGTCCCTTCGACTGCCATTCGCGAGATCTCCCTGCTCAAGGAGATGCGGCGACCCCAACATTGTCCGCCTCTTCAACATTGTCCACTCCGACGGCCACAAGCTCTACCCTCGTTTTTGAGTTCCTCGATCTCGATCTGAAGAAGTACATGGGAGGGCCCTGCCCGTCAAGGATGGTGGTCGTGGCAAGGCCCCTGCCTGAGGCTCTTCTGAGGCCCTCTCCGCGTCTTTGGTCTGGCGCCGGCCGACATTCAAAAAGTTCATGGGGGCAGCCTCTGCGACGGCATTCGTAACTGCCACTCCCACCGCATTCTTCCACCGGGTTCTCAAGCCTCAGAACCTTCTCATCGACAAGGGGGGCCAACCTCAAGCTCGCCGATTCGGTCTCGCCGCGCCTTGGCGTGCCCCTACGCACTTACACCCACGAGGTCGTCACCCTGTGGTACCGCGCCCCCGAGATTCTGCTCGGTGGTCGTCAATATTCCACCGGCGTCGACATGTGGTCTGTCGGCTGCATTTTCGCCGAGATGTGCACCCGCAAGCCTCTCTTCCCTGGCGACTCTGAGATTGACGAGATCTTCAAGATCTTCCGGTAAACATCAGCTCTTTCCCTCTTGGTATCTTGCCATCCCGAAATAACCACTGACATGGAATAGCGCCCTTGGAACTCCCACAGAGGATGTGTGGCCTGGCGTCACCTCGTACGCCGACTTCAAGAGCTCTTTCCCCAAGTGGATCCGCGACGAGCGCCTGCCGCTGTGCACCAACCTCGACTCGGTCGGCCTTGAGCTGCTCGAGATGATGCTCATCTACGACCCCGCAAGTCGCATCTCCGCCAAGCAGTCTTGCAACCACCCGTACTTCGAGACCTACCCTGCCGCCCAGCAGCAGCCCGCTCGCACCAATGGGTACCACTAGAAGCGACCCAATTACCCAAGCGGCAACAGCAGGCGCATCCTGCGCATCTAGCGGGGATGGTAGAAGACCTCGAACACGAGATGAGGGCCTGAGAAGCATGGGCAAGTGAGACGCAAACGCAGATATTCACCCCGTTTCCAGTAACATTGGAAGGCATTCTTTACTCTGGCTTCTGGATACCCCTGATATTTTTCTGGCTCGTCGCATCCTTGGCGGCGGCAGCAGTATTCTACGAGCCGAGCGAAGCAACAGAGTGCTCCGCTCATGCGACCTTGGCACGAAATGGAAAATACGACGCGCGGATGGGCCTCTGTGATGCGAGGAGGAGCAAAGGAGCCGCTCAACACTTTGGCCATCTGTACAGCAGGCGTCTCGACAACAGTATGGTTTGTGGTCGACATAATAGGCAGGCGGCAGGCAAGGGAAAGGGGGTTCAGCGAGCAGCATCCGGCATCCGGCATATGTCAGTACGGGCATGCGGCGCTTCGCTCCGCGACGTTGGGGCATCGTGGTAAGGAGATCTGTCTCCTTTTCCTTTGTCATTAATGTACAGAATAGACGATGCACACGGACCACAGAGGGCACTTGGCAGGACAAGTTCTTTGCTTTCATACGATGGTCAGCCTTTTCCTCCGAAAAACGAGAAAATTATTCCCTCCCACCTGCCCTTTACCCCTTTTCCGCTCTTCGCGAACGCAATGTGAGGTCCACCGGGACAGTTCACCAGTTTAACCCACCAGACGAGAACATCAATTGCCCTTCTCGGCCCCTGACGTCTTTATATGTATGCATCTGGTATCGTTGGCCCCGTTTCAGTTTCGAGATTGCCCCATTCACGTTGAGACCACACCAGAAACCCCCCTCCCCGCTCCGAGGTACCTCTCATTCTGATAGGAGGGGCAGCAACATGGCATCTGGGACCCCGCGGTCCAGGCTCCCGGAAGCGTGGCAGGCGTCACTAGGAGCGAAGGCGTGGACAAAGTGGTCTTATGGCGGTCCGGAAGCGGTTGGGCCTGGGGCTAGAGCGTGAGGCGGATCGTTGCCATGTGCGGCTGCATAGCGTTGGCGGAGAGTGCCGTACGAGCAGGTTGAAATGGAGCAGGACAAGTGGTGCTTGAGGGGGGTGTCTTTTGGATCTTCTCGCTTTTGTGGAGGGTTTTCTTTCTTTGGGGGAGAGAAAAAAAGGGGGGAA